TATATATATATATATATATATAATTTTCCATGTCACTACTGACTTGATTGCAATTTTCGGAAATGACATGGTATATGATAGGATAGGCATTATAATTGGCTGCAAGTGTTTGTAACCTCCATTTTCAACACAGCGCAAGGATCAGATTCAAGTAAAATGTAGCGTGCAAGCTAACGATACGTTATCTGCAAAAATGTGTAAGTTCTATTTTAAAATTGTTAACTGCCTTTCCCAAGGTCTGTCGATTCGGTGATAGGTAGTGGTAATGTGCAATACGATAGGAACTCAAAAGTCAAACAAAAGTAGTAATTTTCAGTTTTGACAAATGGGGCTATTTTCTAGTTTTTGATGAAAAGTCTTATTATGATAGATTCATTTCACCCTTTAAAAGGAAACTTCAACACTTTCATACATATTGTTTAGGGACCCTGTAAATCATAGGTCGGGTAAAGTCTCGAAAAGGTCTGGCCCATAATTGGTCGGTAGATATCTCTAATGTAGAAAAACTACATGTGTTTCTATCAAGGACAACGAAATGACTGCTCGTCATATATAAATGCAACTCCTGACATATGCCATTACTGACAAATGAGTCAATTAAAATAGAAAAGCTGCTAATAAACTATATTTAGAGGGTCATTAGTTCTGACACTTTTGTTGCTAATGTGTCACGCCCTGTCCCAAAAAAGAGGATTTGTATAAACAAACAAGCAAACAAATTAAAACTTGTTTTCGTTTGGAAAACATAACTTTAATGATATCATCTCAAACTTGCCTAAATCTGCAAAATTATTAGACATCAGAATTGTTAATTATTTTCATCGTTAACAAAATTTTAATACTAGTGTACAGAATACTCTGTTGTTTGATGTACCGAGGCTTTCTATTTTTGATGCATTCTTCATGTACATAGGCTTTCTATTTTTGATGTATTCTTCATGTACATAGGCTTTCTATTTTTGGTGTATTCTTCATGTACATAGGCTTTCTATTTTTGATGCATTCTTCATGTACCTATGCTTTCTATTTTTGAATCATTCTTCATGTACCTAGGCTTTCTATTTTTGAGAGCTTGATTCTTGATTTGGAACATAAGTCATATTCATAATGGAAGTCATCGAGTCCTGAACATGACGTTACCTGATAGAAGTCCTGCAACATTTTGGGCTCATAGCATTTGCTGGAAATTATATGTGTTAACTACTGTAATATAGCAAGCAATTGTGAGATTTAGTTAAAAGCTACGAGAAAAAGCAAAGTTTGTAAAAGTCAGTTGTCTGGATTTTACTTCATGTATAAATGGATTGAGTATTCACTGTCACCACACTATACTTTTTTGAATAGCACGCTTTGCAAAGGACTGATATTTCCCCAGTATGGCATGCAAATGACTTGCAGTACACTTTTGAAAATTACTGATTTTTTCCAGCATGACACGCAAATTGATACAAAGTAGCAAAGTTCCTAATCTGCCGTTGTATAATGCATACAGGAATGAACATATTGTCACACTTTTATATTATTAATGTCGGTGCCATGTTTGCTACATGGACGCACATAATATTTCCCCTATATTAATAATGCACACATTTCAATATTTTATATTTTTATAACTAAAATTTTCGTAATGTTCAATTTATCCTCATTCAAAGTTTGATTTAGTACTTTTTTAAACCATGGTACTTCGTTCTTTATTTCTTTAAGATATATTCTCATATCTGTATTTGAAAGACAGCATCAAGTTTGCTTAAGTTTACCTACCGTACTTTGGGTCTGTAAAAAAGACATACCTTTCCAAGATATTTTAAATTAGAGCATTTATTACAATGATACTGACTTTGTCGCCGAGTTTAATTACGGGATCACAATGGCCATTTGAAACATGCAACACTTGTGTCGTCAACAACGCTCTACCAATTTGCTATATTCGAATGGCACCTATTGAAATATTAAATGAAACGTAAAGTAATGAAGACGGGGCACCCGCCCTCTTCAAGACTGTTAACTCGCCATTTAGGTTACATCAAGCCATAAATTTACGATTACTTCGCGAGAACGAAACTATATTTTTTTCACACCAAAAGAGACGACTTTACGTCTCTTCCTGGTTGTATACACAGTGGGATACAGGTAGCAGAGCTTCCGCTTTTTTATGTAAAAAGCAATATATCAAAGAGATTGTTGATTGACCACGGATCACTTTCAGTTTGGGGAACGAAAGAGGAATTTATAGTTTTGTCGCCACGACTGCAATCGAAGTCTTCAAAACTGGTCTGTTTCAATACCTCAGTTGGGACAAACAACTTCCGTTTGTAGTCTTCTTAAAATACTCAGAAAGAAATTGCAATTTTCATCGACACGCCCTAACTAATAAATAAATCAATCAAGTAGTTTTAAATTCACATTTTATTAATTTAAGACCTGTTTAAAAATAACTCACATTTCTAATTTCAATTTATCACAGGAAATAGACAATTCACTAATTACTTTCAAGTGGTAAACTTTCGCTAATAATTAAGATTACCTATTAATTTTTTTAAAATATTGTCTTTAGCAACAAAACCTATGTGCCACTGAGTACTTACACAGTATCTTAGTCATACCAAGAGATGCAGATTTTTATTAATGTAAATGAAACACCCCATTTTTTATTTTTGAAAAAAATATTACGAGTGTTATATAAAAATTCAGTATACATTTCCATTTAATTCTGAAAGCTTACTGTTCATTGACAGAGAAAGATAACTCATACTTAGCGTGTATGGTACAACAGGTTCTGCAGCTATTTCTCACCCGGTTTTAAACCGTTAATTTGCTTCTCTTGTCAGCCTACTGATCAATAATAAAATGTATGCGTGCGATTCAAAAATGACATAATAATAATAATAATAATAATAATAATAATAATAATAATAATAATAATAATAATAATAATAATAATTTTTTTTTAACAAAATTGCGAAGAACTCGCAGCCATTTGTATATATCGATCCCAGTGGTGCAAATTGAACCGAGTGGTAAAAAGACCCAATGAAATGAAGAACATTCAGGAAGCAATTATGAACAATTTGAATCATAAATATTCTATCCAAATCATTATTATCATTGAATTCACATTGCAACTGATAATCGATTCTTTATGCAAACACAAATCTCTCTCTCTCTCTCTCTCTCTCTCTCTCTCTCTCTCTCTCTCTCTCTCTCTCTCTCTCTCTCTCTCTCTCTCTCTCTCTCTCTCTCTCTCTCTCTCTCTCTCTCTCTCTCTCTCTGATGTTGGTTGGTTGGTAACTTATGGTAGTGAAGGAGAGAGAGAGAGAGAGAGAGAGAGAGAGAGAGAGAGAGAGAGAGAGAGAGAGAGAGAGAGAGAGAGAGAGAGAGAGAGAGATTTACAGACCTTAGAACCATTCCAAAAACTTCTGTTCTTTAAGAATATTGTTGTTTAAATCAATGCAATGCATTAAAAAGTTGCAAATGGGATTAATTATATACCCTGCAACACTATAGGAAAGTCACATTAAAAGTGTAGATTACATGGCACTGGTCCAAAGTGTACTAACGTTACTTAGTGCTAGTTAAAGTACAAGGTACTCTTCCAGTTCATTTCCATCTTACTCAACACTTTCCCACTTTTTTATTCTGTATTCCTTATTGCAGAAGGAATGGATCTAGGGGAGAGAGAACTATGATAGCGGGTATTTCGCTTAAATTGTTTAATCAACTCTTTCATTAATAAGAAAATGTTAGATTGAACAGAGAACATGGACAGTTTTGTTGTTTATTTTCCTTTCTTTATCACTGATTAGTTAATGAAAATTCATCACTTTGGCGTGATGTTCTACAAATATTCTGAATTTCTGAGAGTTGATTATATTTGCAACATCCATAATGGAGAAAGCATTGGTATACTTCTATGTCACTTTCATTTAGTGTAGCTGAAATTCGTTTGGATATTGTACATATATACTCAATAAACCATATTACCTTTATACCAAAATAAAGGAATTAAAAGTTATTTTAACAAAACATAGGATATACAAGCCCTTTCTTAAATCACAAGTTTTATATAATTACGGTATCGAAGGATTAAATATGCTTTATAAATTAAACACTTACAAAAGTCACGATGTATGTATATGCATACTGATAAACAGACATGCATGCATCCATCCACACAGCCATACATCCATACATCCATACATACATACATACATACATACATACATACATACATACATACATACATACATACATACATACATACATACATACATACATACATACATACATACATACATACATACATACATACATACATACATACATACATACATACATACATACATACATACATACATACATACATACATACATACATACATACATACATACATACATACATACAGACAGACAGACAGACAGACAGACAGGCAGGCAGACAGACAGACATACATACAGACAGATATCAGTATAAACTATAATTCCAAACAGAACGTGCGAAACAGAAATGTAATTCATCTCATCGTATATAAGATCTGTAGCCTTCAGTATGTTGGAAAATTTTAAAAGCCAAACAAAAGGATCGATGTTCACATATCTGACTGGATTGCAAAATAGCTAGAGAAATCCAATTGCAGAACACATTTCTTTCAATGATCACACATTCAGTGATGTACCACTAATTGCAATTGCTCACAAACATGTTGTTCAAGCGTGTTTTAATTTTTCGTGATAAAATAAAACCAAATATCATTATTGTTTTGACGAACTATTACTATTTGTCATCAATTAATTTCGAATAATAAAAATTTATGTTGTCTGTTTGTACGTAATTTATCAAACAACTTAAATAAGCTCTCGATTGGTGAGTAGTTGAGATTCCTGTTTACTGGCACTTACTGAATAATATTTGGCATCCCAGTCATAGTTTCCATACATATTATGTCAATAATGTAGCTAGAAAATTGCAAGCGTCGGTGTTAGGAATTCTTATTCATATCACACCGCTCCGGTGGCATAGTGGTTAGAGCCTCCGCCTCGGATGCGGAAGGTCGCGGGCTCGAACCCCGACCTAGTGGTACCAAAGATTTATAAAAATGGTACTAATATCCGCCTCGCTAGGCGCTCAGCATTATGAGGTTAATGTTAGAAATGGTCAGCCTGTGTCAGGATAATGTGACTTGGTGGAACATGATGCTATATGTTTGCGCCATGATGCCGCAGTGCTAGACATCACTATTTACTGCCACATTGTAGTGATATGATTGCAAAATTGTTCAGAATCCAAATCACACAGAAGCACACAGACATTTATATCAACTAACTTTGTCAGCACACTTAATTTTACAGTGCGACAGCCATAGTGTAAGCCCAATCACTCCAATTTAGTTATATCTTTGAGATCACAACTCATACAACAATTATTATTCACTTAGCAAATTCATCTTCTATAAGATACTGATGATTTAATTATTTTCTTCACGCCTAGATATTTTATTTTTTATTTCAAGAGAATTAATATTGTTCTAACAATATGCATGTAACACAGTGTAATTTTGCTATATATTATATTCAGATAGTTTTTTTTACAGCTATTTCTATTTAGTCATACCAAGCCCCAGCCACAGAAAATCAAATTATTGGTGCCTAAAATCCGTGGTAGAATGTAGTTCGCGGTACCCCTCTTGCCTCCCATTTTAGCCTTCGTTCGAGTAGTTTATTTACTAATTCATTATATATTTACTTGTTACCGATCATATTAATATACACATTAAGAAAATACAATACCATATCTTAACATTTTTATTTATTTATTTCATATCAGATTTGAGGCACATTGTTGCTGTACCTTGAAAAGTCTCGTTTAGGTCAATGCTTATAAGTACGACCAGAACACGTAACTGAATTTAAAAGGGCATGTCCGAGCCGAGGGTATTCTTTTCACTGCTCCCCATCCCACATGCTCCTAAACCAAAGTTGAGATTTCACACACACACACACACACACACACACACACACACACACACACACACAAACACACAGACACTACTGAGTCTACATTCGAGATTCAAAACATACACATCTACCTCAGACATTCAACATATCATCGCCCTCTCTTTTTCGGGGTGGATGTAGTTCCGTTTGTAAACAAAAGTCCACATTACCTGCGAAAGTAGACCTGTTGATCTCCGCTTCATTATTCCTTTGCAGCCCGCAACCAAGAATTGCTTTCTCGTCTACTTAGCGTCCTAAAACACCATACCCAATATGATCAATTTCCCTCAGTCGCTGCAGAGGAAGTTTAGATTAGAAGGATGACAGCGACGAACGAACGAACGGACAAACCCATTGATAGACTGACGCAAAAACGGACAGTGCATCTAACGACCAAAGCCGCAAAAGTGCAAACATAATATTAAGATATTATTCACAAATCACTTGCCTGCTTTATCTTTCCTGTTGACGGCACCAGTGACCTAAGTGGTCAGAGCATTTGCTTTGGATGCGGGTTGTCGCTGGTTCGAACCCCGACTGAGTCATACAAAAGATTTATAAAATGGTACTAAGTTTATGACTTTACGGCCTGGTGTCAGGATAATGTGACTGAGTGAGATATGATGCCACATATCAGCAGCATGATGCCCCAGTGCTAGACATCACTATAAACTGCCACACTGCAGACATCGTAGCAATATGACTGGACTATTCTTAAAGCTACGTTAAAAAACCTAATCACACACACACTGACACACACACACACACACGTATAATTTAAAATTGATAATAATTTATGTTTTCAATTTATCTTTTGAGGAATTACATTACCATTAGGTAACATAATCCTAATGTTATTGTCAGTCAGTTATTGCTTTCGTCAAGTTTACTTAGCGTAAGTAGTATGTACTTGTGAGGTTTAAACAACTTATTAGATTGAAACAATATTTGGAGTTTAGCTATATTTTATTTTCAATATATATTTATTATAAGCCAACTTGTGTCTCCGTTAACTTTTCATTGTCAGAGTCTTGCAATATTTTACGATATTGCACACCTTCATATTGCACTCACGTGCGACACGCTTGTCCAATGTGCATTATAAATTACTTTATGAGTAAATCATGTACATTCAGGTAGCTGGCTTTTTGGTTGATCAGATTTGTTTATAAATGAACTAAAGCAGACATTTCTTAGACTGCCAAATATCAGCTGCTTTGCAAAATTACTGCGTTAACATTTTGATACAATGGCTAGCGAAAGACTCCAGATAGGTCCTAAAAGTGTTGGGCCCCTACAAATAAAATGCAAGTGACAAGGCATAAACATGTCTTCTTTAGCTGGTAATAAGAATGGCAAAATATTATACTTACATTTTAACATCTTGAGTTTCCTCATAATGTTCTTTCTTCGTTCTGCAAATCCGAATTATATAAGCCATGCAATTAGCCGTAAAGCTTCATCACAAATTTTGAAAGTGTACTGTAATTTCGACTACATTCCACGTGCAATTTCATCCTTCCTACTGAACTCAAAATGAAATGAACATTATATTCCATATCGCCTGTTTGATAACTATAATTGAAAGACTTCCTATTTTCCCCACATTATGAATCTAAACATCCAATGACAGAACAGAAACACACTTGCAGATGTCACAACGCTGCTCCATCGATGCTGAAATCAGGCGTACTTAATGTAGAATTGACACAGATAAATTCAGTCAATAATCACGAAATTTCGTAAAATCAGCACAAATACTAAACTCTATTCATTCCAGACCAATGCGGACTCATTTACAATATTACTCCAATTTTCAATTTTAAGTAGACCAAAACGCAATTGTCTTTCCAAAGTGATGTCTAGCGCACAACTAAGTTAAATTTTATATGGGCGGAGTTATATGGCCATCAATAATGTTGTTGTTGTTGTGTACTGATGAATCTGCGCTTGTGTATTTAGTTTGGAATACAGCATAAGTTCAGTTACTTTGTTTCTTGTAGTGTAGTTTTGCTTATATAATTAAGCCTTAGGAATAATAAGAAAATGAGCATATAATAAAATGGTTACTATATTTTTATGTGAAAATATGCACTCGTTTTGACGAATGGATATACTGCACTCTTAAGGTCGCGCAGTATATCCAACCAAAAAACTCGTTCATATTCTCTCATACAATTGCAGTAGCCTATAATTATTTGAAGACTTAATACATGACAAACAAGCAATACCCCTAGACACATAATAATCAAGCAGACTATGGAGACTATAATTCAACCTGGTCTGAGGGCATATATTTTATAAATAGATGTGGCAATGCCAAGTGGTCTGGTGGGTGGTTACCTATTCGATCGTACGGCTCCAAAGTTCCACCAAAGATACTCAGGTATATATTATATTATAAATATCGTTGTTGACGTATCCAAATGGTCATATAAAATTGAAACAAATTAGAAGTGACACCACTGTCGGAGGCCTTTACACTGGTTACTAAATGTTAAACTAGTGGTTGTAATTTCCCTTTCTATTCTTTGATTGGTAGAAACCAATATATTACTAAAGACAAGCACTAGCTTACATGATTGGGCTTTCGCTAAAATGTATAATACAGATGTGTTTGGTGTATAGTGTATGTTTATGTCACGTGGATGATCAGTAGCAAGCAGATATTGTTAAAATGCAAGCATATGCTAAGACAATAATGGATATGAACACATTTTGAAGATGACTGATGATTTTCAAAATGCGTTTGAACTGAACAAGTCCAAACAAAATGGAGAGGATATAGTGTATGATTTTAGAGAATTTATGCTTGAAAAGACATACCAAACAAAAATATTAAAATCGCAGATTCTCACTGTTCTATCTACTGATCCTTCATTGCACCTTGCCTCCACAGATGAAGAAAAAATGCATCAAAAGCCTGTCCAAAACACATCCCCTTCAGAATCAGACACCTCTGTCCCCACTCAAAGTCCTGCTCTAATTATGTTTCAATGACAAACTGTCTCTTTCGTACTTTTCCTTTGGCTTTTAGTGGATTAGGTGCAACATTTTCTGGATATGTTGAAGACGTTTCCAAGGTAAAATTATCTGTATTGAAAGCTTAAAGCATAATCCAATAGTAACATCATTTATTAGTAAGATGGTCTGTACTGACAACATGATACTTAAATATGTTATTGAGGTTGAAATCAACCAAGATGAATTCATTTTGATCACTCAGTGCAGCAGATACAAAAAGATTAACAAAAATGCAATTTAAATTTTAAAAAAGGAGCATGACAGAAGCTTGAGATTTGGTCCTTTATAATAAGCAAAAATATCAACAAACACAAACTTGTTTTAAGGGAAGAGAAGAAATTAAAAAAGCAAGAGATTTGTTTAACAAAAACTTCCTGGAGATAAAATCTTTGCAACACATGATAGAAGTTTAACAGGAAAAATAAACACAAGTACGAAATAATTATGTGAATTCACTTAACTTTTGGCTCTTTGAATTGTACCTCTTGAAAGATTGTTTCTATACAAGAAGAAAATTAAACTATACCGAGGCTTTCGAAAATCGCACAATTACAATCTACGATCTTTCTGGTAAAAATATATTTTACCATTCCAATGGATGAACGTAATGGAACTTTAACCATTTCAAATTGTTGGGTAATACAAAACTTCCGATGAATTTCCAAACATCATATTCTCATACATAACTGTTTTTCTTTCCTGGCGGAGTTTACAACCGTGCGATGTATATGAATGAAGCCTAAGATGGAATGACTACCAGTGGTGACAAGGAAGACAATATAGATGTTGAATGTTAGAAACACAGCACAAAAGTACAATTACTCATTTAATAAATTAGATAAATTGTTACATTTTAAAATCACATACATCTCATAAATATGAAGGTTTGTAAAGTTTTCAAAGGCACATATTAACATCAAGAATAATTATCTCAGTCGTACGTATTCTACATTGATTGAGCTTTTCATTATTGAACGTGTTTTTAGGTAACCTTCTAGACCTGTTGTTAGATATTACAAGCTATTAAAGAGGTGTTACGTATATGTGATTAAATTGCTTGT